TTCGAAGTGTTTTAACCCATTGTTGTGAGAAAATATTTCATCCAAGGGACAAAACACAGTGTGTGCTGCCATATTTTTGCAGCTTTAGAAAGTTTTACTATCATATGGCAGGACAAATTGCTAGAGTTTTACATACACATATTAGGCTTCTTTACATTCATTTAATATTTGCTACTGGTTGGCCAATAAAACCCCGAAAACTGTAAATATAAACTGAAATAACTTTCCAGTGTAACTATTGTTTCAGGAGCTGTTTTCTAAATCTTGTGAATGAAATCACACTTGCAGTGTGTTTATAATCCTTTAAAATCCGTAAAGCCTTAAAAAGAGTTGACCCAAATGTTTAAATAAGGACTTTATTTACAGACGTGAATATTTCTGATTCTCTTGGAGTGTCATTTTCCAGCTACTTGTAAAATCCGTAAAGCCTTAAAAAGAGTTGACCCAAATGTTTAAATAAGGACTTTATTTACAGAAGTGAATATTTCTGATTCTCTTGGAGTGTCATTTTCCAGCTACTTGTAAAACTATATTCACTTAAGCCTGCTCCAGAAACTTCATACTTTTCTCTGCATTTGTTAACATGTGAATTCTAAAGAAACTTGTCTTGGTCGTAAACAAAGTGCAGATTTACTTTCAAAGTCGAGCGTTAGTATAAACTCAAACAGGTTGACAACAGAGGAGTTTAGTAAATTTTTATATATCTAAACAAGGCCTGTTTCTTCATTACTTGTTGGTTATTGCTTTTAACCATCTAATATTTTTGTTGTGGATCCCAATGTAAAAAGAATTAAATCTAAACTCCAACCCTTATCGAATTTATCCTAGTAAAATGCTTTTCAGATTCTTGTTTTTGCTATGGTTAGTTTTGATTTACTTTATTTGCTTATCTACAAACAGAAATTACATAGGTATTATTGCTCTGACTAAATTAAAAAAAAGATTTTTATTAAAAGTACCCAGATAATATCAGTGGGAATAAACTCCCCTGGCCTCAGTGTATTTGCTCTAAAAGGGTCTGTGTTTTTACAGCAAATATTGTAACTTAAAATAAATGTTCCTATAGATTAAAGAGTTTCACCTCAAAATATTTTTCAGTTATGTTGTTTTATTTTGGGGGGGTTAGTATTGGCAGCCCCTTCTTTTTGCGCATCTATAGGAGCTCTAGTCCTTTGCCTGTTCTTAGCTGCCTGCTCTCCCTTTCTTGAAGATGGGATGCCCCTTCCCTGGTGTCTCTGACCTCATCTTTGCCTTGCTTCCTTCATACTTCTCTGCCCACAATTCCTCAGTTTCAATACACCTGAAATGTTGGAGTGTCCCAGGGACCCATCTTTGCTCCTTTCTCTACTTTCTCTTTTTCTGTTCCCAAGGCTTCAGCTGCCTCCGGGATATGAGCTGATGACGTCCTGGTCTAGATTTCCTGTCCTGGAGTCCCAGCATGTTTTTCCAGCTGCCCACTAGATGCCTTCACTTTCACGTTCTCCTGGTCTTACTCAACATGTACAAAAGCAGAACTCATTGTACTAGCTCCCAAACCTGTCCCTCCTGTATTCCCCATTTGAACTAATGGTGCAGCCATCCAGGCAGAAGCCTAAGCCAGACCTCTAGGAACCATGTGCAGTCTTCAAGACCCTCAACTCCCCCATTCAGGTCATCACCAAGTCCTGCGGATTCTGTCTTCCAAAATCTTCTATTCACCCTTTCTCTCAATCTTCAGTGCCTGGTTCTTAGTTCAGTTCTCAGCATACCCCATCTGATTTCTGTAAACAACTCTAAACTAAATGTCTCTCGGTCCCCCACTCCCTCTCCAGTCAGGGATACACATATGTTACATCTCACACTTGTGAATCCCTAGCTCTGGCATCTAGAGATACCCAGAAAAATGTTTGGAAATATAACGAAATGACTCAATTCCCCCACGTAAAAGTAACAGTGTAGGTGAGTCTAGGACAGAGTTATAAAGAATGAGGAATTCAGGATTTTATCATAAGTGGACATCGTGCCTTTGTTTTTCCAAAAACAGTTCCCTAGGTCTATTCTGGTAAGGGGAACTGAACTTATCAATAAGGTTTTACAGACTTAGATGCAGCGAAGCCCACTTTTTATTTAAATAGTTTCTTAGTACACTTAAATAATTTATAGTAGTGTTTAAACAGCATTAGATTTTTAACTATTTGTCATTTATTGTTGAAGTTATATTTGACAATATGCTATTTGCCTTCAGATATCCCCAAATCATTATGTTATTCTTATCAGGATCTCAGAAGACCCCAATTATCTTCTTTGTACCCATGTTACGCACAACTTCTTGGTTCTTCTGAATGGGAGGATATACCTTATCCTGTCCGTGATAACCCTTGAGCTAAATTTTGTCTGAATAATAAGACTCATGAGAGCAAGGAGAGAGAGGCTTTGGTCTTTAACTAAAGGGTGTCTCTTTAAGATTCTCAGAGTATTGTAGAGATTGGTGCTTGGAAAAATTACCACAGCCTCAACCCTGACCAAACATGAGAGCAAGGAGAGAGAGGCTTTGGTCTTTAACTAAAGGGTGTCTCTTTAAGATTCTCAAAGTATTGTAGAGATTGGTGCTTGGAAAAATTACCACAGCCTCAACCCTGACCAAAGTATGATGTGTTCTTCTGACCCTGTGAGCAGTACTGGGAACAATCGAGTCCTCAGTCTTGGGTCTTATTTTTGTTTGTGCCATTTGTGTCACCGTAAATTCATGTGACTTCACACATTTTCTCTCCCCTTTGATATTTAATGAAAGACACCACTGCTTACCTAGATGCAGTGGAAGACATAGCATATAGGAATGTCAGTTATTTTAATAAGTCTTGAAGGACTCAATAAGCTTTGAATTTCCTGTTTAGAAGGTAGGGTTAGTCAGTGGGAAGAGTCACATGACTCCTGAAAAGATAATCTCACACATGTGGCAAGGCTCTTTACTTGCTTAAGTTGGTTATTTTTGTTTGAAAAATATTGTTATTCTTTACCTTACAGAAATAACTTTTACCTGGACGATCTTATGTGCATTTTTTTCCCCAGAGAGAAACTGTGACTGTTTTTGTCAATGTCCTGTAGTGAATCATTGGCAAAGGTGTGAATGAAACCTAGACTTTCCGTTCTTTTTTCTCTCTGTCCTGTCTTCTTTTCATATTGATTGTACATCATGTGTAGGCCCCAGAATTGTTAATTATTTGGCAATATAGGAGTGAGCTATAACATGAGCACATAAAATACTCAGTGCAAATAGATGCTTGAGTTGTGTTGAAATTTTGGCTTTTTAAATATGGTTTGGGTCTTATGCTTCAGGAATCAATTTTTTTTTAAATATAAAATATTCCTAAAGATATTATGATTCTTTGATAAGATACCTTAAAAAGATATAGCACAGTCTTTAGGGCAGGAAGATCTTTATGGTGTCCTTGATATGAAATTACAAAGAGAAAAATCTTTTTGAGTTGTTGGGTCTTTGAGAATCATATCATGAACACAGAATACAACCATACTTTAAAAATGTACTAAAACCACCTCCCTTTGTCATACATAATGTTCTTTGACCTGGATTGGAAAGAGAATTGGTTTTTTTTTCCCTCTGTAATATTGTTAAAAAAAAAAAAAACTTGGGCTTATAGGAATTGGGTCTTCAATTTAATTTTCCTTACATAGAAAAATGGAAAAAATTTAGGTGTTATGGCCTAACCTCTAAACTAGGCCCTTCCTTTTGTTTTGTTTTTGTTTGTTTGTTTGTTTTTTGTTTGGTGGCTGGCCAGTATGGGGATCTGAACCCTTGACCTTGGTGTTGCAAGGCGGCTCTTCCTTTTGAAGATTAAATTCATGCCTGCCTAGTTTTCATTGGCCACAAATATGAAACATAGTATGTGGCTGTCCATTCTCTAAACAGTTGCACAGATGTTTATTCACTGCAGTGTGGACTCATCTTTATGTCTAATGCTCCTTTGAGAATCTTGTCAGAAGTTAATGATGAGAGGGTGTAGCAGTAGGGACAACACCATAGCTGGTGAGACCCATTAGGACATTCTTTTAATCATGATTTTTACGTTAGAAATCAAAGCTTTAGGGCCGGCCCGGTGGCAGTATCCCTATCTGAAAAGTGTTTTGGATTTCAGATTAAGGATTGTCCACCGGTACTCTTCAGCTATTAGGAAATACAGGACTGAGTAATAATAACTTGTTAATTGTCATTGAAGAAAAGAATGATGTTACGATTTGAATAAACATAAGATATTTCATAGGCTTTACTTGTCTTTTTCATCCCACCATTTATGGAGAAGACTTTCCAAACTATACCGCCATGAAATCTAGAATAATCGAATAATGTGTTGGCAAGCCATGCTGGAGGCAGACCTCTTTTGGAGGCAACGGCTTCTTTAGAGAGGACCTTTGGCTTTGGACTGGGACCGACCTGGCTTGGAATCCAAGGCCTGCTGTGCTGAGCTGTGTGTCCTTGGGTTTGGTTCCTTGACCTTGTAAGGTGTGGTGAGCACGTAAATCCCCTCGTACAGCTCCTGGCCTGTAAAAGGTGCTTAATAAATGTTGTTCCCCTTCTCTTCTCCACAGAAGTGTGTTTACCCCCCGAGGGAAAGGCATTCACAGCCCCTGACTCCCCCTGGCTGCCCCTCCAGCGCTCTACGGCGCACCATCCAGGAGGCCCGTGAAGGCAGCACGGTGCGCCCACGTGTGAGCACCAGCCCCTGTATGATCCATCCCGGTAACGCTCCTCCCTGTCTTGCAGGTGCCTGAGATCATCAGCTCCATCCGCCAGGCGGGGAAGATCGCCCGCCAGGAGGAGCTGCACTGCCCCGCCGAGTTCGACGACACGTTCGCCAAGAAGTTCGAGGTGCTCTTCTGCGGCCGGGTCACGGTGGCCCACAAGAAGGCCCCGCCAGCCCTGATAGACGAGTGCATCGAGAAGTTCAATCACGTTAGCGGCAGCTGGACAGCGGAACCCGGGGCGGCCCCCGCGGGCGGGCTGTCCCCGGTGGGCGCGCAGGTGGCGCGCAGGCCCATGCGCAAGTCCTTGTCCCAGCCCGGCCTGCGCTCCTGCGCCTGGAGGAAGGAGTTCCAGGACGCCGGCCTCCGAAGCAGCAGCTTCTTCAGCTCTTTTGAGGAAGCCGACATCGAGAGCCACCTCGTGAGCGGACACAACATTGTGCAGCCGACAGATATGGAGGAAAATCGAACCATGCTCTTCACGGTAAAATAGGATGGAGCCTCGCGCTCAGCCCCGTCCGAGATAAGTGTTGACGATAAAATCAGCTTTACCGAGCGAAGATTCTTAGTAAAGTGCACTTGTATTTATGTGGGATTCCATATATTTTTATGTGGATTAATTCTTTCCTCAGGATAAAATTCTTACTGTAGCCATAAGCCTGTGAGATCATCAGGGAATCACAGAAAGAGATTCCATCTTATATACTTATGTAATTTTTATCTCCCTCCCACTCCCTAAGGTTGTGAAGACAACTTTTCAGTGTGGAAAGAACAGTTAAAATATGTAAAAGAGGCCAAAAGAGGGATTAAAAAAAATATAATTAATTTCAAGTGATATATTTCAACAAAATCTTGTAGTTGGAAAATTCTCTTTTCTCGTATCATTAATTTATAAAATATTTACCCTTTGTTAATCAGATTAATTGGGTTTGTGGATAACGTATTTGACACTTATACCCAGACTGAAATATTAGTTTGGCCAATTGCTTGCTTTTTTCCAGAAAAAAAATTGTTAGACTAAAGTGAGCCAAATGACAGAATAGGAATGGACCGACACTTATACCCAGACTGAAATATTAGTTTGGCCAATTGCTTGCTTTTTTCCAGAAAAAAAAATTGTTAGACTAAAGTGAGCCAAATGACAGAATAGGAATGGACCGGGGAGCTGTCCCTGGTGGCTGGGGTTCTTGGGTTTCATGCCAATCTGGGCTCTTCTGGATGGGTTTGCCATCCCTGGGAGTCCCCTGGGTCTGAGCTGATGGGACTTGGAGCCTTCCTGGAAGTGAGCTAGTATCTGTTTTTTCCTTGGCCCTCTCTCTGTCTCTTTGGCTTAATGTTGACTGACATTCTTTAGAGAACACAATTACCTTAAATGTAATGTCTTGTTTTTGTGCCTGACTCAGGGCAGTGAGATGGCCAAGAGGTGAGGGAACTGGCTGCTTAGGTTAATGCTGTGTGCATGTAACCAGGTTTTAATCAAGAGGTGTTCTGGAGGGTAAATAGGACTGATTTCTTCCTCTCTTCATCATTCATCTAGGATACTGAAAAGAATGTTATGCTGGCAGCCAGACTTGTGCTTTACCCTGTAATCTACATTTAAAAAACAAAACAAAACAAAACTCTGTTGGTGTCATTGAGAAAGTTCAGTGCATTTATTTACAAGTACTTATTGTGTGACTGCTGTGTGTAAGGGCCCTTGCAACAATGCTAGAAACTCAGCAGTGAGCAAGACAGGCATGGTCTCTGACCATGTGGAATTTAGATTTCAGTAAGGGAAATAGGCCACTGGTTGCACAATTAATTATCTAATTATAGTTGTGATAAATACTGGGAAGGAGGAATAGAGGATGCTGTGGGAGCACTGGGGAATCAGGAAAGGCTTCTTTGAGAAAGTGGTTTTCACCTAGCGGAGGTTTTGGTGTGGCTACCTGGAAGGGTCTTGTGGGTTCAGAGTGCAGCAGGTGAGAAGGCCCCAGTGAGGGGTGGAGCATGGTACCCAGGAGAATCCCTGATGCCTGTGCACTTCCATTGCTTGGCAGGCACCCCCCAGTTGTCATGAGCCTTGCCACCTCACTTCCTTTAAGTCTCTTCTGAAATGTTAACGTGACATGGAGAAATAATCTTATCAGCGATGCCAATAGCAGCTTCCCATCCTACTTCTTTGCTTAATTTTTCTCCATAGCACTTATCACCATTTGATGTAATTACAAATAAGCAAGTAAAATACTTTATGTTCCATGTGCACCCAAGAAGATAGGCTTCACGAGGGCATGAATTTTCATCTGTTCACTGCTTGTTACTAGTGCCTCCAGCATGGCCTTGTCTGTGGAAGGTGCTCGGTAGACACTTGCTGAGTGAGAAAGAAGGCCAGGTGACTGTGCACTGAAAGCAAGGAGGGAGGGTGGGTAGAGATGGGACAGGAGGCAGGGGCTTCATTAGGCTGACCTTATGGGTCATATTCAGGATTTCATTTTTTGTCCTAAAAGCAGTGGATAGTCACCAAAAGGTTTAAAACACAATATTAAATGTCTTTGGCTACAGAGCAAGGATATACTTGGGGGAGGGCAGGAGTTAAAAAACCATTGCAATAGGCCAGGTGAGAGGTAGTGGAGCTGGGAGTGTGAAAGCAGTGGGGATGGAGAGACGTGGATAGATGTGACACACTCAGAAGGTCATGTGGAGGGGACATAGTTATTGAGTAGATATGATGGGAAAGGAGAGGGATCTCAAGAGCTCCACCCAACTTTAAATTCTGATTTGCTCTTTGCAACCCAGCCACAACCAAATAATAATGCTTTGGAGCTTCTCAACTATGAGATTATCAGAAGTTCATTTTAAAAATTAATAAGGATTATCTTCATTATGTACATAAAGACATTGATCTCTAAAGAGACTAAACATACCCAGAGTAGATACTCATTCATAGTTGGTTCCTACTCTGGGCAGATACACAGTCTAGTTGAAGGTAGAAAGATGTTGCACGTTAAAAATGAATTTGTTTTTGGTCATACTTGGTCTCCATGGAAGGACAAGAGTAAAAGGCTACCTGCCAATCTCTGCTGACTGAAATACAGTTCAGAAACAATAAGTGTGCAGAAACTATTCTGAGTGCAAAGTCCATGCCCCAAACAGAATGCACGTTTCTTGCGCTACCCAACTGAGAGTATAATTGCTCTTGACTTATACTGTAGTTTCCAACAAGCTTGTGTATCTGATTTGTATTCCACATCATAGTGTAAAGAGTTTAGAGGAGGAGGTGGGATTGTGAGTTACAATGACAGCATCAGGATGTGATCACTGACTTCTTGCTCTCGAAGAGAAAGTAAAGTCATAGAAAACAACGCTCCCAGAAACCTGAGAAATTTAGTGGTCTGGAGGCACCGAATCCAGGGAGGCAGGTTCCACAGCCAGCCAGAGGGCGTGTGAACAACCAAAGAGGAGGAGGTGGGATTGTGAGTTACAATGACAGCATCAGGATGTGATCACTGACTTCTTGGTCTCGAAGAGAAAGTAAAGTCATAGAAAACAACGCGCCCAGAAACCTGAGAAATTTAGTGGTCTGGAGGCACCGAATCCAGGGAGGCAGGTTCCACAGCCAGCCAGGGGGCGTGTGAACAACCAACAGCATGGGTATTGCAGCACAGACATCTCCTAGGTCTATTATGATATCCTAGGTCAATAAGACAATGTTAATTTATGCTAATGCTCTAACTTTTAAAAAGTCAGGTAAGTTTTATATGTGAATGTCTAACACATAATATGTACTCAACAAATGGTAGATTATTTTAACAATAAGTTAAAAAGACATGTCAGTAAAAAATAATCATTACAAAGTGTTTTGGAAGTTTTAAAAGAGAAACTTCTGTTTTCTGGAAGATTAACTTATGTAGAAACCTCACTTATTAAGGGGATGTGGGATCTGAGGCTTATTGCTGACTTTTGGATATTTGGTCCCCTCATCTCACGGAAGACTGCTGTCGTATGTGGGTGAATGTGCTAACAGTTGTCTTGTGCTACCTGAAATCTGTAGGGTAAATTAGAACCCTTGAAGTGATATTTTACAGTGATGTAGTTAGGATTTTATAGATGCTTGCTTCTTTTATTATTTATTTTCATAGGTCATGAAATGAGAAAGTTTGTGTAATAAGTTTGAATTAAACTTTCATGAAAAGCTAGTTTCGTTTTTTGTTTGTCTTTTAAGATTGGCCAATCTGAAGTTTACCTCATCAGTCCTGACACCAAGAAGATAGCATTGGAGAAAAATTTTAAAGAGATATCCTTTTGCTCTCAGGTAAATGGAGATGGGTTATTCGTTCCATTGCAGTTCAGTTTTTTGATAAGTTCCTATAATATCTGTCATACAGCAGAAGTGCTAACGGTTATAAGGTGTGTGTTTTCTAAGTACAGTACTCGGTTTTGTGATCTTACATTTTTCTCCTTTGCTTTGGTATATTAGGACAAATTATAAATGTAATTTTGAAATCAGGAATTTTGCTCTTAGCAACAATAACCTACTGGAAAAAATAGGTCTACTTTCCTTTTTTCAATTATTGGTAGGAATGTTTTACAATTATGATTTCCAGGTGTATATGTTGTGTGTGCATGTTACACATACACACACAAATACATCTCTTTTAATAGATAAGTATTTCTGCTTTACCAAAATTCACAACTTTTTTTGGTATCTGTCATGAGTATTTCTTCTTTCTTAAAGTATAATAAATAATGCTTATCTTTGGGGATCTTTTACTAAGAATACAGTGTTTACTTGAAAACTTTTTTCTTGATAATCTTCCGTGTGTTTCATAAAGAGATTTTGAAGGAATCTATCAATTATGAGCTATGTCAGTTTTACTTAGGATTTTCCTAACAAATATGAGATCACTTTACAGTTATGTTTGGCTGTTTTTTTAAACTCTGACTTTTCATTCCCGTTTAATAAGATATAATGAAAATCTCAGTGTTTGTTGATTTATAACATGATCTCCTTAAGTCTTCAAAAGGGAAAATTTTTTTCTGCAAATGTGAAAATAAAGAATGTTCTTTACAGATTGAATAGGGAAACATTTACAAAGAAAAAGTTTTTTCTAAATCATATTTCCCTATGTGGACTCTAGCTTATGTTTAATTTGCTGTTGGAGAACATTGATTGAGATGCCAGAGTATGTCAGTCATTGCTCTTTTATTGGAAAATATTTGGCTTCAAAGTGAGATTATACACGGAATTTTTATCTTTGTTTGCTGCTATTTCTGTTGAAACATTAATGTTAAATGTTTATGTTTTCATGTGATAGTTTTATTATTTCCTAATGGGTGCAGTTTACAAGTTTATATGATTACCTGAACTTCAAGCTATCAGTGCTCATATCTGCATGCTGTACTTTCAGAAGACATTGATGTATTAATATTTATGGAAGATGTTTTATCTGATTAAGGTGACTTTGTTAGCTGATGATTTCAAAACAAGTTTACATATTAATATTTATTAAAAAGACCTGTTAGGAAACTATAGTAGAGGCTTGGTTTACTATCTTATGTTTAAAAGCTTCTCTACTCTATATGCATGTAATTTTCAACTCATTCTGTATACCAGAATATTCTGTATATTTTTTACTTTAGTATTTTCCTATGTGTTATTTTAGGAGTACAAATACATTTTAAATCTTTTTTCTAAACTTTGTGTCTGTGTGTGTGTTTGTGTGCATACATGCACGTATGTGTGTGTGTGTATACAGTTGTATTTCTTCTTCAGTCTCTGGTCTGCTTTTGATTTTTCAAGTAGTTTTTTATTCTTTAATCCCTAAGAAAAGCTCTAATTTTTCTGTTAGTTTTTCTCTGCTTCCTTTTACTACTAAAATGAGCACTAAAATTTAAGTTTTTAGATCTCAGTTCTCTGATTGTTGTCAGGGAAAAGTAACATTTTAGTGGTCAATGTTAATCTTCAACATATTTGACAGATTTTTAGATTTAAAAAATGTTAAAGTATGTGAGAAAATAGTGATTTTCAAGTGCTCTTTGAAATTGTGCTGTGTAAATATCAAGGTGCATTTCTGGCGCTGGTGCCTCTTCTGGGTACAATTCAACGTTCCCTTCTCTCCCCTGCCTTCAACAGGGCATTAGACATGTGGACCACTTTGGGTTTATCTGCCGGGAGTCTTCTGGAGGTGGCGGTGTTCATTTCGTCTGTTACGTGTTTCAGTGCACAAATGAAGCTCTGGTGAGAAAGGATGAGCAATTCTTACTTTGAAACCTTCTTTCCAAGGAATTTCAACCTCACTGACTTTTCTATCCTTAGCAAAACCAGATAGTTTCATTGACATATCATTATTTGGCTTTAATTATGCTTTTGTGACTATTTAGCACCCAGCTAGTATGCACCTGAGACTTACTTGGGTGAGCTTTTTAAATTTGTTATTATTTTTGAAGAACTTGCTGAGTTTCACCCTCAGTCTAGCATTTAAAAATGTCATTTTGGAAGTTTGTTCAGAGGAATTTGCTTTTCACTCAGTATTTAATTTGTATTTTTAGATTTTACCTTATCCCTTTGAAGAGCTTTGAGCATCTAGTAGCATTTCTCAGATTACAATTATTATGTCAGCGTATGAAGAATAGTCCAGAAAAATCTTAAAATACTCTTTTCCATATATTTCTAGAAATCAGCCCAGCTAATTTTAAACTGGCTTTTGCTGGCTTTTCTCTTTGATTAGGTTGACGAAATTATGATGACCCTGAAACAGGCTTTCACAGTGGCTGCAGTACAGCAGACAGCTAAAGCGCCAGCCCAGCTGTGTGAGGGCTGCCCCTTGCAGGGCCTGCACAAGCTCTGTGAAAAGATAGAGGGTGAGTTGGGCACTTTCAAGTGTTAACAAAGTGGGAGTTGGAGATGCACATTTGTTGAAAAATTCTGCCT